ATGTCGTGTCCGAAACATCAGCACCTTGCTTTCTTCTTTCCCACTTTCTTACTGATTTTTTTAAGAGAACACTTTGGAACTTTCGAGTGCAACAAAGTCCGTGCAAACGGGTCATGTTGGCACAGAAGGAAGAATGCTGCTAGAATTGTTTAAAGTGTCTGCGCAGCTCTTTTCCGCGCATTATCAGCCATGACGTAGGCGGGTTATTCGTCCTTTAGATGGGCATATATTAGGTTGCTTCATAAGTTTTTTCAAATTCAACTTTCTGAAGCAATAACTCACAAATTTCTCAATTCTGATTATAATGCAGGATACCGTTCGATAGAGCAAGGCAAGCTCTATAAGATTATTGCGTTTACACCAGCTTCAGCACATCACGAGTTAGAAACCGAAATCTAAGAACTTCTGGATGCTCAAAAAATCGAAAATTTTCTGTAACTTTGCCCGAATTAAACTTACCAAACTTATTCACGCATATACACTCCACAGAACACATTTATACTGCCGTTGCTGTGTTTGTTTTCGTGCTAGAAACCGAGAAAACTAAAATTTTCAAGCTTATAAAGAAACGATGCTGCGTTGTTTTCACACAGGTAAATGTATACTACAGGCCTATAAAAGTACAGTCATAAATTTCCAGCTTTATATAAACTTCAGTTCCCAAGATATATCAGTTTGAACACGTAATACCTTAGCAAAAAAAGCTAGTTTCGGTATTTCTTAACAACAAGCGCTTCCGGGAAGCTGCGAAATTACCGATGTATTACTGAAGGCCTGCCGAATCGCTAAGTCATAACAATGGCATTGCCTTTTCTTCACATAATTCACGTACTTGTTTGAATGAAAAATACTGAATCCTTATTCGAATAATGCGGATCGAATAGTAATAAGCAAAAACACTTAATCGATATCAATCGATTTCTTTAGAGGATAGCCACCAGTTCCAGTTTGGGTTTCGCTAATCAACTGCCAAGGAGTACCTTTTAGCGCACTGCTTTCATGCAAGGTGTTTTCGGATTTACTGGTCCGCATGACGCATGGATCATGTTTTGAGGACAACATTGAGTGAAAGAGGGTCTTTTCTTTACTGGAAACTCCGCCGAAATGATGCTGTAAATCCTATTTGGGCTGTTTTCTCCTTCAGCCACACTAAGATGTGGGTATGCAAAAAACCGCGTTTCTGTTATTCCACAGTGTACTTTAGAGCGAAAACTTTCTTAGACGTAGCTCTTGCTTAGCACACCCATAAGCTGCGTGAACTTCTATTTGAAGAATCTTGTCGTGATGTTGTGGCGGTAAGATACTTCACCAAAAAGAAGCTTTTCCGTAATTTTGGTTTCTTTGGGTTGCATGTAAACGTGACGAACAGATCACGACGCCCGTACACTTCAACATGAACCAAGGCGTCCTTAATGTACTGGTGCATGTGGTGACCGCCCGTGAAGGGAGATGATAGTAGGACCATTTGTTCAAGGTCAGTGACATTTCCGCCACGGCATCCCGTAGGTGAATCTAAACGTCTGCACGCACTTTCGATGATGAGCCGTTTAAAGCGAAGTTGTTTGCTTTCGATCTTAACCTACATGTTCACGGTAAACTGATGAAATGTTTGCGGCATCTTACATCTGATTGAAGGACGTGGTCCCAATCACTATCCGATGCGCATAAAAATCCATAGCCGATACCATATCAGTGAAAGCACTAGTACTGGAATTTTTTCGCCATAATTGGAACCTCGTAGTAAGACCAATAAAGCTATGGTTTTCAAGGATGCGCTAATGTTTTCGACTATTTCAATCTTTTCGGATGATAATGCCACGCTCGCAACCTTCTTCAATCAAGACCACCGCCATTTCGCTTGCAGACATTAAACCGTAGCTTGTGCTGACCAGCAGCTTGTCAGCACGGATAACGATTTTGTACTTATCTCTATTTATCCGTCAAGGCAGTCTTGAACATGATCAGCAGGGGGTTGAGCAAATGCAGCTCCTTTGCAGCTCTAGCATAACATCTTGTGCCATCGATAATAAAGCAACCTTGACGCCCAACGGAAAGGTGACACACAAAGGGTGGAGCAAAAGTATGTTTGTTTTCGTGTACCGATATTTGCAGTGCATCCGTGCGTCTTCTGATCTTTGTAGTTTTGAATTTTTGGGTCTCTAAGGAACGACGAAGCGTTGAAATGTCAGGCCGATTGAATAAACTTACCACGTACAAAGCTATTCGACAAGCAGAGAAACATTACAAAAATATTTTAGAATTTTATTGGATAGGAAATCTGTTAAAAAGTGTTTTGAAACTGCGAAAATCTTCCAGATGCTATGAGTTTTAAAAGCATGGTAAGTTGTATGGTGCTCTATGGGCACTAAAGGAACTTGACACCAGTATTTAACATCATATTGCACGTTTGAAAATTTCGATTATTTACAGAAAGGCTCTCAGACTTGGCGATCTTGAAGTAAATTGATCCCATTGCGCCGTAACGAAATTGGCGTTATGATCCAACAAAGCAAAGCTTACTTCAAAAAATTATCAAGTACTAGCTTGCTTACTCGGCTCCGCTCGGGCCTGTCAAAACACTGCAATAGAGGTCCCATTCCTATCCCTGTACACACTTCTACACTTCATTTCCCGTTCCCTGTGTTGTTTTCGAAATCAGCATGCCCACTTACCCCCCTGCGCCAACTCCCAGCCCCGTAGGTGAACTTTGCAAAAAATCGATAAAATCAATAAAAGTAGCATATGATTTCAAAAAACTAACATTGTGTTCGTAATCGGCATGCTCGATTACCCCCCTGTGCCAACTCCCAGCCCCGTAGATCAAACTTTGCAAAAAATCGACAAAATCGATAAAAGTTATGGGTGTTCCTAGAAACTAATACTGTGTTCGAAATCGCCAAGCTCACTTACCCCCCCCCCCCTCTGCCAACTCCCAGCCCCGTAGGTGAACTCTGCAAAAAATCGATAAAAATCGATAAAATCGATATCGATCGGTGACGAAAAGTAGCCTATTACACCCGCCGGGGCCCGAAGTGTATGTGTGCCATGTTTGGTCCGGATCGGTTCAGAAATGGAATTTTTTATTCGGAACATACGTACAGACATACAGACAGGCAGACATACAGACAGACAAACAGACATTCAACTTTATATCTAAGTTTCATAAATCATTCATATTTACAGTATCTCATTGCCTACGGATTATGGATGCTGCGAAAAACATGCAGTTGCCCATAGCTATCCTGAAAACGTACATCCTAAAACATATGCATAAAAGCACAAATGCATCATTTTATTGTATTTCAGCGAGATTATTCATAAATCAACGCAGTTATGTTGCATAAGTGACAGGTTTTTTCTGCCTTAAAGATTTTAGATACGTTTTGTATGATTTGTTATGCGCATAGCGAGCATGGCTAGCATGCGTCCTAACAAAAAGCTCTTTTTGTATGATTTTTTTGTTGAACACCTTTCGTTTCAGATCTGTTATTTAGCACCTTCTTCAAAACAATTGCAGATGCCTACTCCAGGCGTTAAAACATGGTCTCAATGTAACTGATTCCGAATATATATATATATATATATATATATATATATATATATATATACAGGGTGTCCCAAAAAAATGTGAGCACTGTTTGATCGTTAATAACTCCGTTGCTTTTATTTCTTTCGCCGGGCTTGAAGCACCATTCTGTAGAGCGAGGTTCAACTTAGATTTGTGGCATGGAGCGAATCACCGATCGCTCTTCATTACTGTAGGATTACGGTATGAACTTCTGGCATGTGGATCTATTGTGAAATATGCCATTTGACAAAATTTTTTTCAAAAAATCTGAAAAATCGTGTGCTAAGGGTTTCGCGCACGCTGATTCCATAGCGCACCTTTTTACGGGTGTTTTTAGCTTTTTTGACGGTGTAATCACATTTTTGACAAATGCTGAAAATTCGGTTATTAAGGTTTACCTGGGATAACCTTGAAAAGAAGCGTCACAGTGAAGTGAAAATTTCATATTCGAACTCAGCGGCTTCCATTACCCATTTATAAAAGTTTTTGGCCTGTTTGGTTTTGTTCCGAAGCAGAATATGGCTTTCAACGGCTTAAAATCCTTGTCGAAGTTCTTACCGTAATCCTACAGTAATGAAGAGCGATCGACGATTTGCTCCATACTGTAGGTTTAAGTTAGGCCTCGCCCTATAGGATGGTGCCTCAAGCTCGGCGGAAGACATAAAAGCAAGGGAGTTATTAACGATCAAACAGTGTTCACATTTTTTTGGGACACTCTGTATATATATATATATATATATATATCAAGTCCAGATTCTGAAAACTTGACAAACCTCATTCCGCAGAACCTGCAGGGCGGGTTTTCCGGAACAGTGTGGTTGGGTACGCACGGATGGGAAGGGCGAAGGTCACGCCCACAAAGAAGAATTGCCGACATGAAACGAATTCATCATCCGAAGCAATTTTTGAAGCAATTCGGAACTTTTGGCAGCGCGAGTCTTGCAATTCACTTGGGGACCACGCTACTGTTAAAGGTCAGAACATGTGCAGAAAATCTCAATGAGCCCATTTTGAGTGGGCGCTGCCTATAAAGGCAGCGTCTAACAAAACTGGAGTAGTGCGAGTCTCCACATGTCCTGTTAGGGATTCACTGAACAGGAAAACGTTCCAAGTCTTACTCGATACGAGTCCTTCTACAAGAAATAGAAATAGAAATATGGTTAGAAATATGCAAAAATCTCGACCAAATTTTGGTGAAATGGTGCTTTTAAGCTTCTAGTAGAGCCTGTTCTAAAGCGAATTACTATTTATACGGGTCGCTACTGATAATGCAGCATATAAGATTTGGATCGCATTATTAGTAAACAATGTATGTTGCTAAAAGAACAAGGTTTTCATATCTGAATTTTAATTTCATTTCTAATATACGAGGTTGCCAATTTCACTGATAGATTTGTTTTGCTGAGGCCACAAATTTCATTTAATCCTGTTCAGGTAAAACGAACATATTTAACGATGTATGGTTTGCTTCAGGTAAGATTTTCTTTTTTCTTCCATCATTCCGCTTCTGTTGAAAACAAAGTATCAGCCGAATAGAAGTACCCTATTTTCAGGTGTATAAGCCGCACCCTTTTTGCTCTAAACGCGAGCAGACCCAGGCGTGTCGCCGCACATATGTCTCGCGAAGCGGTCGCCTTATTGCATAGTGCTCTCACTTAACGCGCTCCATAATGCCAGTCAGTCTTTTGGCGTGTTCGCCTTTAGAGCGAAAAGGGTGCGGCTTATACACCTGAGAATAGAATATATCACCAATTTCACGCCGAATTTAGTTCTATTTTGTAGGCCTTCATCATGATTGTGAGCGGCTTGTTTGCTGGGCAGCTTGATCATGGTAAGTACATAAAAGAAAATTTTTAACGTCTCTGTAAACGGGTTGATCGGCCCAAAAACTATGCGAAGAAAGAGGCGGAAAAACACACAAACTCTTACCATTCAGAAGCTGATCGCGTGAATTTTTGCCGTAAGGCCTCGACACCTCTCGCGACTCAGTTGCAAGGCGAACTGGCAATATTCCAAATGTTTAACTCATCTCGGACGCATTCTAAATGTAACAAAGCAGGGCATTATATTAGGTTACGAGAGTTGAACTGGCTGTGCATTTGTAATCTGCCATTGTTGGATTTTAAAATCTGGCAATTTGCCAAATCGAGTGGCGACTAAAACCGCGTGAAGTATGCCCGAGGCTAAAAGGTAACATAAGTTTTTGTAAAGGTAGAACGCCATGCAAGAAGAAGTGCAGCACAAGGGTGAAGTTGATGTGGTGCATGAAATAGTAGTGCAGATCCACATCGTCACTGATCAGTAGGCCATGAAAAATTCGACCAGTGCTATATTGTCTATTTTTTATTCTATAATCAAAAGCCTTGGCTGCCGTACTCATTGGACCCAACTGCATGCAAGGCAGAGCGTTTGTTTGATGTCAGTGGCTACTGCTACACCTGTTCTTCCTTTGTCAAAATTTTAGCCTTTTGGGCAATATTATCGTATAGCTGAGGAGACATTTGCCAGAAAAAGACATTTATAATATACAAAAGCTAATACAATGAATCGATCTGCTAGTTGAAGCTTTTTGATGACAACCTTTTACAACTATCATAAGAATAAAAACTGGCAAATTTTTTTCTGACATAAAATTTTTAACAACCGTAGTCTCGACTAACGTTTGCACAGCAATGTTTGGCTTTACAAAAAAATTGCAGAATAAGAAATTTAGAAAACTCTCGAGCCTTCACGTCATTCCATTATTATCAAGCACATTGTGTCACTTTTACAGCAAAATTACCTTTCATCCATAGAGTTGACAACATCAAATGTGTTAATCTGGCAAATAGGAAGAATGTGTGGAAAACGAAAACAAATGTGAATCCACAAATTGAATGTATCGAATTTAACAGCGTTAAAGCAAGTCTTTTAGCACCTGCAATGCCACTAACAACATCGAGAAATGAATCCAATACTTCACTTCCCAGCCAGTCTGCGGATACAATAACGCCGCCACCACCTCCACTATTCGATTGCGTAGACGGCCATTGTCCCGAACCTTACGTATGCATAGCTGGTTCTTGTGTGCGCGGTAAGCGTTGCGAGCTCAACTCCGATTGCCCACATTCCTACGCATGCGTGAAAAGTGTGTGCTTGCTAGTTGAATTCACGACACATTTTTAACTCATTGATTATCAAGCGATGTCTGACAATGAAATGAAGTTTGGTATCACTCTGCTACATGTATAATCAAAATAAGCATAAACAGATTCTCTGTTTTGCAATCATAGTTCTCTTCAAGCTGCGTTTGGCCATTAAAGGGGGAATTCACGTTGGTTGAAAAAATAGTTAGCCATTTTTTGAGTTTGATATGAGTTTTGAAAAAAGATAATTTAAGTCAGCTGGGGCAGGATCATTCATCTAATCTGATGTTCATTATAATCGACGCAGGTACGAAAGTTGTTGCCTCTGTCAGCAATTATAACAACTTATAAGATACTCAAATCAATCCAAGATTTTTAACTTCGAACCTGGAAATCATAGGTGTGCAGAAAATTTCAAAATCAGTTCCATTCGTTGAGATTTTGCTGGCGAACTGACCTCGATGATTTGCCACAGAGGAAACTAAGTGACATACTAGCTCAAACCGTTACCGACATACCCCATGTTAAAAATCAACATTCCGTCATGCCCTACAAACGAATTGTTTCCGTCTCCTGCCAGAAAGTGCTGCTAAATACTTCTTACCCTCTCCGCCCCTCACTTGCCAAGATTTGGCTTAACTCAAGTTAGCTCAAAAAAATCAGCAGAGGTAACAAAACAAGAAATTTTGCAAACAGTTGTTTCTGCCAACAGAATAACACCTTAGTAATCCGTACCACTTTAGCTATTAGAAATGCAAAAAATCGATGTAGAATTTTGAAGGCGTCATCATCAAAGCGGTTTTTCATAATTTATCTATTTATCTACAATAACTCCAGCTCTCAAATAAAATTTGGAGAATATTAGGCTTCTAAGAAAGACACTGCGATACAAGGCCTTTGCTTTGATGAGAGTACCTAATGGAGCGTACGGCACACCGTTAAATAGAGGAAAGCATGTTCTACAAAAACGAACCAAGAATGGAATAAATAGTAATTTTTTGTGGTAAATGTAGTTTGAAAGCGTAGGATTTTGATCAGGATCCAATCTAACCTATCGTGTTACTTATGACATCCTCGAATGGTTTAATATATAGTAGCAACACTTGCATACACAGAAAGAAAAACTGAAGAATGGCAAATTCCCTTCTATTGAGCCTTGACTCCTCCCACCACCTCAAGTATGAGCTACATACACGAGCTACAGCTACATACCAGTGGCGTACCCAGAATTTCCGCTCGGGGGGAAGGGCGACAAAATTTCTTTTCAAATGACGGTGCGTGGCGTTAGCCACTCACTCCGAAAAAATTTTAGGGGTGCCTTTCAAAATTTTTGCGGATCTCAGCCACGCCCCCGAAAAAATTTTTTTACAAAGCTAATTTGAATTTTTAAAATTTTTTTAAAAATTATTTTAATTATATACAAGTATAAACAAGTCACTTGACATTTTTATAGCCCATATAAATAACTTTCAAAAATTTGGCGACCCATTTTTGGGGGGGGGGAGACCGCCCCGCCCCCTCGGTACGCCACTGCTACATACGTACATGCGCGAATGTTTCACCGTCAAATTTCCGCTCTTGTAGAGGCATTACATTCAGAGAACATCATATGCAAAAATGTTCGAAAACCTTCTTACCAACTCAATAAAAGCGGAGAATCGTATGCCAGGTGATGTTCAAAATCAGCAATAATCAAATTTGTCGTGCTGTACCGCTTGCCCAAAGAACATTTGTGCTAATTGAGCCTATTCAGAAAAAAAAAGCTCAATGGGCACATTCCTTGCTCTACCTACTTTAAGGCAGCGTCCAGGCAAAAATGGACACGGATACGGTCACGGGGCATAGTTTGGAGCCCAATATCTTAGCCATAATTGCACTATCTGAGCTGCCGCTTGAGCTCTTATTTAGGGCTTTAAGATTACCTTCCATGTGAGAGCACCATAGGTCCAGATTTGCCTGGACCTCCTCTAAAAAAAGCAGGGCATAAAACTTACAATACCATTTGTTCCAACTTTCGGTGCCAGTTTCAGATTCTAAGCAACCCTGCACAAAACAAAAGTTCTAATGAATTCCTTTTACAGCTTTTATCGCTGTAGTTTTGGCATTTTAGAAAGTCTTTAGAAGGCAATTGCAAATGATTCCTCTTTAGATAAAATCAAAAATATGCAAATACTTCTAGAAGTCAAAAATCAACGAAATTTTGAAAAACTATTTGGGCCAGCCTCCTTTCTCGTCAATGGAATTTCTTAAATTCTCTCTGGAAAGGAAAACCCTTCTTCAATGCACTGATCCTGCCATGAATTGCTGTGAGAAAATTCGAAAGTTAGAAGTAACTGAAGTATTATCAAGATGGCAATTTTCAAGGAGGGTCCAAAAAAGTTTGAAAGTACTTTGTTCACACAGAAAATCGTGCGACTACTACAGTACCTTTGTCGGAATTAAAGAAATTCGAGAGTTAGAAACAAATCAAGGGGAGCTACCTTCGTACCACAATTTTTGAACATGCGAAAAATGCATTAACGCAACAGCGGAGACAAAATCAATTTTAAACATGGAATTCATGACTTCTTTTTAGCGAACAAAATCAGTGCTAGAGAGCGAGTGCGCATTTAAATTTCGTGGGAAAGGCAGACACGAAAATCCGAAAATTCCACAAAATTAAAACCTGCTCTTGATTAGTCCGAATTCTGAAATAATGAATAGTTTTTCTTTAATACCGGCAGAGGTACTGTATGCGCAGAATATTCTCCGTCAAACAAAAATACCTTCAGAATATTTCGTGATCCTGTTGTTAAATGCCGATCTTGACTTTTTCTTCTAATTGCTTCTACCCTATTTTCAGGTGATATAAACCGCACTCTTTTTTGCTCTAAACGCGAGCAGACCCAGGCGTGCCGCTGCGCATCTGTCTCGCAAAGCGGTTTTAGCGTGTTCGCCTTTAGAGCAAACAGGGTGCGACTTATACACCTGAGAATGTATTATCTGATAATATTTCATAGTAGAAACATTGCAAAATCGAGGATGTCTCTTTTTCCAAAGAAAGGTAATTTTGAGAATTTCCATTGACAAGGGAGGAAGTTGTGTTTTTGTCTGGCGAACAATTCTTCGAAGCGAACGAATTATCAGGTCAGCCCGAAAGTTTGTTCGTACCATCTTCAAGTATTCATGACTTTTGATTTTCCCAGTCAAATCATTTGGTCCATTCTTGTTTGAAAAAGTGTAATGATTCATGCTCCTCAGAATAATTTTCTTACCGGTGATCACATATAGCATAGATAGGAATGGAAGAGAATACCAAATCTTGTGTTTTGAATGCAGATTTATAAGAAATCCGAAATTGCATTGAAAATAGAAACAGTCATTAGGTTATGTTTCACTTGCTCTTTCGAACGATGAATTTGCGCTGATTGACGGTTTCCGTCAAAAGCTATGATTTTTAAGCTTGCAGTACAAAGCAGTGGACTTGATTTTTTTTAAACATTTTTCTCGAAAATCATGACTTTTGATAAAGACTTTCAACCAGCCGAATTGCTGTCGAAAAGAGTAGGTAACGAAACCTCTTAGAAAATTGACTGCTTCGATTTTTTTTGCCAGATTAAGGCTGTGACCGTAAACAGAAAGTTGAAAATTGATTATACCTCTTTAGCTGCTATCTACGCAATGTATGACCAACAGTGATCCGCTAAAATATCATAATAAAAAGCATGATTTGCTATTCGGAACAAAAACAAAAGCAACCAAATCAGCTGGAGAAGTCAGGAGTTATGGATTTTTGGATATGCTGCAAACCAACAATCAAGCTCGCCAGCTGCGAAGCGACTGCACAATCTGCACAAATCCATAATTTTATTTTCTTTTTTAGATTTTTTGCTACAATGCATTTATATCAGTATTCTCAAAGAGTACGCACACGAATTATACAGCCCAAGGTTCGGTTTGCTGTTTGCATAGATCAATATGAAGTTTTAACTAGATGTTTCCCACAGTAGATAAATGAACTCTAAAAAGAGAGGAAGGGGAGACCTTCAGAAGATGCTTCTTCAAAATGAATGATTTTTGAGAAGAGAATAAGAGGACATATTCAAGGTTGCTTCCTCAAAATGATTTCTGAGAAGAGAGTGAGACGACTTCTTTGAAGGATGCCTCTTCAAGATATAAATTCTAAGAAGAGGGTAAGGGTACACCTTAAAGATACTTCTTTACACATTCGTACAAAACAAATCGCAGACCTGAAAAGCGAATGGTCAGAGCTGTATTACCCTTATTTCAAATATATTAGGCTATCGCGTAAGTTCTTTTCAATTTTGAGTCATTTACCGCAATAATCATGCATTTCTAAGTTCCAATTAGTGTGATTAGTGTACATAAAACGTTCCGTTCTTCAACATGCTTCTCTTGCAAAAGCTCGATAATATCTTTTTAATCTCAACTAAAGATAAACACTCCAAGCAAATCCATGGCAACGGGCACTTTAGCAGCTGGGTGCGGGAAGTTTCTCACCCGTGGACTCGCTATAAAGACGCGCTCCTCAGGTTACCAAGACATTGCAAGCAAAGCTCCCTTATTCAATGCCGGTTCAGATGCTGAAACCGGAATTTCACAGAAAGTTTTAAGAAGTTCAGCAGCGAAATCGCACCCGAGCAAGTTTCGGATTTGTGGGTTCGAGGTTGCTCTTTAGTAGTGGAATTTGTTTGTTGCAAAATCAAGTTTCAACACCGATATTGCCCAACCGAAATCAGAATTCGGATTTGAGGGGTTAAATTTTGCATTTTCTGAAAATCAAGGTTAAAATAGGTTTACGAATTCTCAAATTATAGATCAACTATTGAAAAAATATCCGCATAGCATAATAGCATAATTCTGACTTTGGTTTTTTTTCACGATAATAGAGGTGTGTTTTTTTGTTGTTTGACACCACGAACTTTCTAAGACTACTACGAAATTTTCTGGCGTTAAGCCAGCCTCAAGGATCACTGACTTGTGATATGGGTGAACGGTAAAAAATGGGACACTTACAAAATGACTGGAAGTTTCTCAAAAATGAGCGGCGATTAGACTTTCCAATTTTG